CGGCTTTTGATTCCTGTGTTTCCTTTACTCTTTTATTCGAATGTAGAAAAAATCGTTTCTGTTAATGAAGGTTAGGAGTGTCACTTGGACAAATAGTTAAGGAACGAAACCGAATTCACAAAGAAGTGGGTATAAATGGATAGGGTCTACTGTTCACGGTAACTATCAATCAAGTCAAATCAAGGAATGGTTTTATACACCTCGATAGGTGGATATTCAGCAAATACATAACCACAGTGTGACAACAAAAGTGAAAAAAACGGCAACAATATAATATAGCAATTAAAGGACGTGAAAAAGGACAACAACTTCAGAAACCAATGGCATACCCTTAGTGTTTATGATTGTTTTATTTGAGCGTTTGGCGCAGATTTCCTGCAGCGAGTTCATGGTTTGTTAGAAATCTGGCGTGATAAAGGACAATAGACCGCCTGTAAGCTTCACTCTGTCTTTATAAGTTTGTGAGTGGAACGGGCGGATGAGTGAGAAAGACACTGATTAAGGGCGGAATAAAGAGGATGGGAAATATCAGATAAAAACGTGTTGGACAATGTTTTACAGGACTTGAGGTGGTGTCACCACATACTGTACCAAGTGTTCCCATGGTATAAGACTACAAACCGACAGAAATTTGAGGGTTTGGGAAATGAGTTTGAGGTCCTTGTTAAGAAGATCAGGGAAGATAACAGGGCACCCATAAAGCCAGTAAGGCAAAACGCACGCAAAAACAAAACACCTTATGAGATGGTTTGGGATGGAAAGTGATTTAGGACGTAAAACATAAAACGTGAACCTCCTGACCTTCCGAAAAACATCATTAACGTGGTCAAACCAGGTGGGGGTTACGGTTGAAAATAACGCTAAGGTATTTGACAGACGGTTGTCGTTCCATCTGGTAACTAAAGATAGATAGAAGTGGACTGACATTAGATACTTCATCATACTTTCGCCCCTGCAAAACGGAAAAAATCACGCCATTACATTTTTGGGGGTTCGTGCGGAGGTTCCTTTGTTGAGACCACTCAACTATTTCATACACATCTTCCTGTAGAGTTTTTTGAAATGCTGAGCTAGGATAGGGCAGTCCGGATATTATATCGTCTGCATACTTAACGAGAAGAGAAGAATTGCTCGCAGGCATAGAAGAAATGTAAGCAGGAAATAGAAAAGGGGATAAGATAGCACCTTGCAGAGCAGCAGTAAAGATGTGCGACCTTTGTAGCGTGTGAACTGCTGACGGTTGGAGAAATAGTTGGCCAAGAGTTCAGTCGCAGAAAATTGAACTCCGCCCGAAGAGAAGGTATTTAGCAAAGTTTGTCGATCAATTGTGTTAAAAGCATCACTGTAGCCAAGAAAACATATGCGTACAGCCTTGCCCTTCTTATCCAGGTTGGGTAAAACAAGGTGGGACAGGTAAGCAAGGGCATCCAGGGTACCGCGGGAATGGGTTTATGCAAACTGGTTCAGGTTACCAACAGTGAATTATGTGGACAGGGTCTGAATGAGGAGCCTCTCAAACACCTTCAAGNGAATTTAACAGATAGTTATCGTTCCATCTGGTCACTGAGGGTAGATAAAGGCGGGCTGGCATTTGACAATTCATCATACTTTTGCCCTTTCGAAAAAGAAAAAAAATTACGTCATTACATTTTGGGGGGTTCAGGAGGAGATTCCTTTGTAGTCAAGACAACATATGCGTACAGCCTTGCTTTTCTTATCCAGGTTGGATAAAACATAGTGAGACAGATAAGCAAGGGCATCCAAGGGACCATGGGAATGGGTGTATACAAACTGAATTGTGTGGACAGGGTCCTAATGAGGAGCCTCTCAAAACCCTCCAAGACAACTGAGGTTCAGGCATTGGGACGGAATTTTGAGGATCCTTTCTTCGGTACAGGGATGATAGAGGCTATTCTCCAGCAGTTGGGTATACGTTGCTGCGAAATACAATCATTGGAAAGCTCACTCAGTACAGGGGAAAGGAAGGCAGCCCGTTCTTTCAGGACAGCAGGTGAGACTCCGTAGGGGCCGCAGGACTTGTGAGGATTTAATCTAGCCAACTCTTGATAAATATCGACAGTTGCAACACTGGAGACGGGATCAGTGGTGTTTATTTCATACACNTCAGATCACCTATGTCCACCGCAGCAGTTGAGCGGTTTGAGGATTTGATGCCAGAAGTCCGCATGAGGGCTCGCCAGGTCCCACGACTCCCTTTGTTGTCAAGCTGAGCACGGGCGTATAAAGAGTTTAACCTTCGAAGTTCAGCCCGGATGAATTTAGCAAGGGAGCGCACGTCTTCGCACTTATGCATTTTGAAGGCACGCTCCTTTCTACGACAGAGTTGTTTGAGGTGTGGGGACGAGAATCGATCGGGACGAATATAAATAGTCTCTAAGGCACAACAGACATCGTAACAAAAGTTTAAGTAGCTTGTCAATTGATCACAGAAAACGGAAGGGTTGGGATCAGAAAACAAAATGAGGTCAGAGTGTCTGATCGTTTCCCTTAACATCTTGAGGGTTTCTGGAGAACGCTGTCTTTCATAAAGCTTGTGATCACGACTTTGAGTAAAGGGACGACGGTTCGTTCTGCTAAAGATGATAGGGGAAAACTTCAACATAGAATGACCAGACATTCCCAGTGGGGGTCGGCGTTCTACAAGAAGTAAATTAGTAAGGTTGATAAAACCCAAATCCAGGTGTGTGTCAAGCCTGGTGGGAAAGGTAACAATAGAATCAGGTTTGTTTTAGCCACAACGTGAATACCAAAACACAAGATTTCGGTGACAATGACCTATGGATTATTAACTGTTCTGAAAGGTAACAATGTTTTGAAGACCTGAGGTGGTTAAGAAACGGGTATCAAAATTATTGAAGTCGCCACAAATGATACAGACTGAAGTATCTACATATTCAATGAGTTAAAAGAGTCATACAAATCATTAAGAATATTAGATGAGCTAGAGGGGGCTATATACGCATTTACAAGAATAAGTGACCGAGAAAAGCTTAAATTTTGGGCTTACATTGAATTACTGATTCGTTTATATAACTTGTGGAATAAGAAAACACATTTTTGGTCAGATGACGCCACTGATTTTTGACAAACGTGGTGACACTACCATCCCTTCGGGAATAAGGAACAGTACAATCGACAGGATAGCTAGCGAATCCATCCATGTGTATTATTTCATCCTCAATTTCATTATGGAGCCAACTTCTGCCCACGTGCCCATAATTCGTCTCCTTCAAGAGAGATGTCGCTGCCTGCATAGCAGAATATGCTGACCCCCGTTGCCGACATCCGGGGATGTGACCTGACCGGTGAGCCATTGGTGGGAATATGGCTAAAAATCCTTATTTCAAACTTACCAAGAAGAGGTGTAAGAACCCCGCAGCTTCGCCCTTTCGGTTGTGACAGTGGTTACCGGCTCGAATTGGCAGCGAGGTGTGTTGGACACCTTGGTCGTCGGACCCCGTCCAAAGAATGTATTATCCGGATAACTGAACACCGATCCCCAGTGGACAGTGGTTTTCACACATCGACATGCTGCCTTATAGATAAGGCTTTGGCTATCCGAGGGCTCCATTAATGAATTCCCCAAGAAAATTCACCTGTTTTGATCCAGGTACCCTATTAGTTTCGTGCCCTCGAGCAATCCTATATCTTTTTTCTTTTCTTAAAGATGATGATTTGTTTAGTACAAAGACTGGGCCCAGGCGGGTGTGAAAATATCAGATAAATAGGTTGTCATTTTTATACAACAGGGAAAAGGGGCGAACCAATTTCCTTAATTTTACCGTGATGGTTAGCAACAGTTAGCACCGACCTATAGCTTGTGATACGTTGATACTGAAGCTTGTTACAGTAGGTACGATCGGTCGAAAGAGAAGGGGTACATTGTAAAGCAATCCTACATTTTAGGCTATAACTACCAGAAGTGATTGACCAACTAAATGTATAGAGTGAATTCAGCTGCACAGTCGTAAAGCTGTTCACATCACATGCACATTCTAACATATGGAATCGTGCAATTTTATCGTTTGGTTTACGTTGAGTTCTAACATTGGTCCTCGTAATTTGGGTGCAATGAATTCATTTTTACCTATCCGGCGAGTTTGAAAATTTATTTGCAGGCGTTTTGTTACTGAAAATGTCACATTTGCAAACAAATTGTCAGGCTCGACGAACAACAGAAAGTAAAGGATTCAATCTGACATTTCCTGTATTTATTTGATGTGCTTTCATAAATGTGAACCTCATAGCAGTTTTGCGAATGCAGAACTAACCTGCTATTGGTTGTTTATGTAGATGCACCTTCTGTATGGGAAGTAGGAAGCATTCAGCTCTTTTGGATCATTCCGGCGTCGTTAGGACTATGCAGGGCGACAAAGGTTAATTGTCTTATCCTCTTGGTGCATCCAACCAAATTTTGGTCATCATCGGACACTCAATTACCGCTCCGCAGCATATACCTGTCCTGCTACCACAAATGGCTGCATGGGCCGGTTGCATCAGGTTCACGAGTAGCTTGGACACCTAAGAGCGTTTCAGTGGTGCGCCACTTAGGTGTCGTGCAGTTCGCACTTGGTTTCGCTAAGACAGGAAGTTGATTGGTGTTGGGAATGCCATTCCGTATACCATTCCCCTGATTCATCTATGGAATTCAGGTAAGGTGGGGGAATAAAACATGGGTTAACACGATGGAGTTGGACGTGAAGTGCCTACACTCACACTCGCTCTACCCAGTTCGGTTTTGGAACTGCAGTTAGATTACCATCTGCACCGACTTGGAGGCCAATTGCCACTCATGGAAAGCCGCCATTCCACATATCAGGAGGACTTCTCAACTGGTAGACGACGGGAAAACGATACCGGTTTTCTACATTTTTGTCTCACCCATTACCCTCGAATCGAAAGAACGAACAGTAAGAGTTCGTGTGGCACTCCTAACCGCTTCAGACCGTGTTATGTGTCGTAGGTTGCAAGTAGTTCGTTTTGAGGGATCGGTTTTTCAAGTTGACCAATACCATCACGATCGAATTTGCGTCCTACCCAACGCAAAGCAATCACAATGGAAAGATTTTTAATCAATGTGGTTTCAAAAAGTAAACCTGCCAGGCTAAACAGAGGTACCGCTCTTTTCTAACACGGCAACTGACATGAGCTGCTCTAATCGACTGTCAATTCTCCCCATTTAGTCGTGATTCACTTCTCATTTCAAAGCTTTCGATCTGCAACATTCATCGTCCCATTGATGTGAAGCAGTCTCTCGCTGACAGCTGATTTCTCTTCACCGGCTGTCACAAAGAGGGTGACGTATCTGGTGCGTGGGAGAGAAAGAAAAAGCGTCTGTGTGTGTGTGTGTGTACACGGCAGCTGACTGCGGATAGATAGGTGATTTTGCCCTCCGTTTTTTGTTAACACGTCCACTAATGGGTATCTTGTGCGGGCTGGAGAAAAAATCCAAACCACAGGATTTGATTTTCATAATTTACCACAAGCAGATTTGCTTCATTGGTTAACATTGCGAAGTTACTCTCACACTCAGGGGGGGGGGGGCACCTAAAAACCGCCATCAGTTTTGTACAACCATATTAAAGATCTTCTTCCCTTTATCCTCATCCACTCACTTTCAACCATTATCACAATCCATTTTGGTTTTCTCATTGAATATTTGAAATCTATTGTCATTAGTGGGATAATTCCGAGATGATCAGTGCACAATGTTGTAGGGAACCGCCCCAATTTAGGGTTCATTGCAGGCATTTTATAAAAAGTAATGCGTATGGAAACATTGTTCAACAATAAAAGAAACAAGCTCTATATTATAATAAAGTGTGATGAGGATTAGTAGTCCATATGATGGTTGACAAGTCACTCAGTGCTTTTACGCAACAATCGGAAACTGTCGTCACGGCGTGCGCGGACGTTAGTGGTAGAATTTGGGAACTGCGTTTTATAGACCAATCTGACCGTATTTATTTGCTTTTCCGTTACACTGAAAAACCTTATTATAATGGACGGTAGCTGATTACAGAGAAACCGGAGGACTCCAACGATGCACTTGTGCTTTCCCGAAACAAGTGTTGCACTAGTTTAGACCTATATCTAACCGTCTTAGCTCTCAATGCCCCAGTCAGTAAATTATCGAAGGACAAAGTCTATCTGACTTCGGATGAATGCAAATCGTCTGTTGGATGCGCACTCGTAAGCGCTTCGAAAAACTACTCATTCTTACTCTTCCGAGAACTCGGCCCTATTGTGGTTGATCAAATGATAGATCACCGGATGCTTTTCACCGTACAAACCTGGTCCTCTGGTAGTGTATTCTGTACAGGTGATTATCGGACGAAACTCGAATTGCACTCTCTCTCGCTTTAATGGACAACACTATTGTTTTCACTCCACAGGACCAATGTCGGACTGATGAGAGTTGTTTCGTTGAATAAAAGCATGTAGAACACAATTTCGGGTGAACAATTGTTTTCAATAACTCATAATCACGCCGCTACAGTTTATATGAGGGGAAAAATCCTAGGGGTTGAGAGGAGAACAATAAAATGTATGAAATCGTTCTCTTCGTATTTGCGTGTGTGTGTGTGTTGCACACCGCATTCTCAGATCTGTGCTTCCGGGGTTTTGGGTTATGGAACATTTGGATCCCGTTATGAATTTGAACAGCCAAGTCAGAAGGCAAACACTGCGAGAGGAATTCCTTTCGTATACTCTTATCGGTCGCGTACGTATAGCATTGAACAAGATAGACAAATGAAGTGAAGTAAGAAATCTAGTTAATATTAACCATATGTGTTTTGAGTTATGTCACGACGGTCCTCTGACCCAGTTCTGAGGGATCGGTGATTTGTGAAGATGTTTGTCTGTGCGAGTAGGGGAATGGGGCAGGATGAGGGAGGAGTGGGTTCGCGAGCCCAGGGGAGATGAAAAGCTTGGATAAGACGTTTCTGGGCACAGTTCGGGGGTCAGAGGCTTAATACAGATTGCCTAGGCTACGGCCAACGTACGCATTGCAACGTATTTAGACCGGTTCGGGGGAACCTGATAAACAAAGCGGAATGCTTCACACGGTGGTCAGTGTCTACCAAGTGAGCGAGAATCGCACTTGCGATAGATCCGGACTCACCTCGACCCAACCAGCACGGAACACCATCCGCGCTGGCTGAGTCATGCAGAACGAGATGTGTAATCTGCAACAGGTGGTTAGGAGCTTCATGAACGGCTTTAGGCAGACATTTTAGCAGTCTCTTTGCCTATTCTGTGGTTACAATGGTAAATTTATTAATTTACTCCCGAGTGCCATAAGATTCCACCAAACATACCATCACGTGCGCACCAAACATACTACTCACCAATGTGAGTAGCACCTCACCACGTTATTATCCGCTATTCCACCGAGTCATGAAATTTGTAACATATCTATAAGATGTCCATCGTCATTACGTGAATGTTTTAAGAAGGAACTCAAAATGCTATCGAAATCCATTGCCTTGTCACGCGTTCTTCATTGTTTACACAGCACAAAAATTGTCAAAATCCTCCTTGCTAACGGGGCAGATGTGGTGGCCAAAGACAAAGGCGGTCTAATCCCACTGCATAACGCTTGTTCGTACGGTCATTTGGATGTGTGTGAGCTGTTACTCGGTGCCGGTTCCGTCATGGCACAAGTCCACGCAGCGGATCTCTGGCAGTATACACCGTTGCACGAGGCTGCAAGCAAAGCACGTGCAGAAGTATGCACCTTGCTGTTGGCTCACGGTGCGGATTTGACCAAACCAAATTGTCACGGGAAGTCCGCCTTAGACTTGGTTCCAAACGCGAATTTACGCTCCCGCTTGCTATTCGAGTTTCGTGGTGAGTTCCCAATTTCTTTTCCTTGCTATCTGTCTCTCACACTCATCAATTGTTAGAATATGGGCAATTAATTTGACGCTCTATCTCTTCTCGACAAAATAACCACTCGACTGCAATCTCATCGAATTAGAATCTCACCCCATAAAACAGCCCTATGATTTTTGACAGGGTAAGAAACCAGTGAAATTTTGATCGCCTAGGTTACCGGTACTATTTTTCTTGTATCACAGTATGTACATCCGTTGCTAGGTGATTTAAACAAACATTTGGGTGGAATTGCAGTTAATTGGAACGCATTATTGTCTGTGTTATTGTTCAAGCGTACTACTGGATAAGCCACTGGGTTTAATACCTTTATATGGTGACCAAGTTAGCTTTGTACGACCTTTGTACTTCGAGCTCCAGCCTTCACCGTCATTCTTCCAGCTGGTCGCTGCTCCACAGGAATTTGGAGTGAGCAGCAAAGTACGCGGATTTTTTTACAAGTTCGGTCCGCTCGTGCATCTTTGCATCAGATGTAATCTCTCATGCACCTCTTTAAAAATCCAGCTGTCTTCGGGTACTCCTTCTATGTCCTTTGCACTTCAATTTACTTCACACGGGTTTGTTTCTTTAAATGTGAGAACTACGCGGTTGTTACACAACTGGTTGCTTTTCAATCAGCAATCGCTAGTTTTTTCTCCTCATCAACTAAGCTCGAATCTTGCTTTCAACGAAAATGGATGCTCTTATCGTTCCATATCATTCCCTAGTCGTTAAATTCCACCATTCTGTCTAAACGCGTTCCCCATCTACTCATAATATTAAACACGTAATTAAATGTCCTTGGCAAATATTCAACGTCACGATACAGATCTCTAAAGTAGGGTTTCCAACTTATAAAAATTGGTCACCTCACCGCGCACACCACTCTTGGTTAATCTGAATCGTTTATTAATAAACATATGAAGGTGAGCCTCGTAGGAAGAAAAGTCGCAGTTTGAGTGACATCCTGACTTCATGTTGTGACTGCAAACCTATGCGGATGTTATTTCGACAGTTCTCTTCAATCCAGTCGCTATTTCTAATAAGTTACTAGTTAACTTTTGTGACATGACATCAACATCTTGCTAGACCATAGCATATAGGGCTTTTTTTGCTCCCCCTTCCCCGAATTGTTGTGTCCGAGCCCAACGGAGCATCACGGTCTACGAGAAGGGGAATGTAATGTGCCGAAATCGGTCGTTTTTCGTCGAGAGTTCTTCCCTCTAATAACATATCATGGCAATTTTAGTTTCCGATTGCCCATCTAGTCTTGTTATTGAGGGTTCCCACAGGGATCCGTGCTTGATTCTTGTCTTTTTCGGATTTTCACATTCGATCTACCGAATGTACTGAATCCATGAACAAAACTGTTTACAGGTAGCGCCCAAATGTGGAGTATGGTGACAAACCTGAGAGCTCAATAGCACTTCGAGGAACTTTCAGCATACCTCATCAATGAGACTGAAATTGAATTCAATGCAATAAAAAGTCCGATCTTATTACTACATTTCTAATATCAGCTAGCCCAATTCTCGCCTACATAAGCATGCGTTCAAGACGATCTAAGCTGCTCCGTAGCTCTAACAAATGTCCATTCACTTGAATGAGTCTTTTCTCAATTTTAGACAACGCTGTTTCCATGTATGCTATCAGCTCACGTCCAACCACACATTGAGTACGCCGTCCATACCTGGAAATCACGGTTACAACGCTATCGCAAGATCTTATCTTAGATCCACAAACAATAGTTACCAAGTTAGTCAAGAGACGTTATTCCAATACCTATGTTGAGAGGCTATAATCAGATAAGCTATACACCAGTCCATGTCGCCTACTTCGAGTAGACTCGATGTTTTGTATGAAATACTGCAGAAACCGAACCATCAATGACGACGATTGCTCCCGTTGTTGGCAACATCCAACTCAAGGGACATTATTTGAAATTAGTTCTGTGTTCCATTTCGACTATTCGCCGAGATTGGCAATTTGTTTGCAAACGTTTCATCACCAGCAGAGGTGACATCATCAGTGCTTGTGAAGTGCCCACTTCACCCGAGCTACGAGAACCGATTTTCAATATTTTGTCAACAGTTCTCGGTGTCCACTGGAATGCCACTATGTATCTTTCCATCAATTGGCAGAAACCAAACAAAGCTCGCTTTCACTTATGCCAGCTGATGGGCACCTGATTTTGTTTTGACTATGTCATCTCGCCCCCGTATAGGTCACCTCAGCAAAGGAACAGGGGTAGGAGCAGTTTACCGGTAAAAATCATCTCCGCAAAATGGACGTCTGAGTGAGGTATCTGGGGCTTTCCATCGACGCTGAGAGAAGTCTTCGCACTTTATAGGACAGCTGCCGCCGGTCAAAGCTGGGTAGCTCCCAGCCAATAAGATACTGTGCACGTTTCGCTTTTCTCATTGGATAAACCGATTTTTCAGTTCGAAGGCTGTGAGGTAGAGTGCAAAATATTTGTATCATTCCGGTCATGCATTATCCTGCTGTTCACTGAGCACAGCATTTGAGATCGTTCACTATACTCAGTCAGGTTCACCGTCCATTTTTTTCAATTGTGGCACTTCATTTTCAGCGATAACGCGTTCTCTTACCACCCCCTGTATTTGTGTGTTGTTCATTCGTTCTAACTCTAATGAAAAGTTTGATCACGCAGTCCACGGGGCACTGAGAACAAGATTTTTGAAGCATTGAGTTCCCTTTATCCCTTTCATCAAAACAAAAAGAAGACGAATGTCGCGAGATGTTAACATTTCGTTTAATCTTCTTAGTCGCTGACTTAAAACGAACAGGCACATATATAGCACATGGGATTAATCAATTATGGTGAACGAACGTGTACAAGCATACAAAAAAATTACTAAATTTAGAAGTAAAAGGTCAACTCCACGGTAAGTGGATTGCTTGTATTAAAACGATGGGCAACGGGCAGTCCATTGGGTCCCATTTTGGCAGATGTGTTTTTAGGCATGATTGAGAAAAACCTAAGTGATAATATTTCTAAGTTCACCCTGTACAAACGTTACGTGGATGATATTTTCATTCTTACAGATCATGAACATTTTAGTACACTTCTACAACAGTTTAACTCAGTCTAACCACATCTATCTGTATCTCATGAAACGGAAACCAAAGCACTTTAGCTTTTCTTGATATAAAAGTTACAAGGCGAATGAATGGGACACCATAACGTTCAGTCTACCGAAAAGCGACATGGAACGGTCAAAACCTACATTGTTCCAGCTTTTCCCCCACAACTTACAAACGTGGGCTTCTGAGAACCCTATTTCACCGGTCGAGAAACATTTCTCCAGATACACTGAAGGAAGAAGAGGATTTCCTTAGGAGAACATTGCTAAACGATGGTTACTCAGAAAGGTTTATAGTTATTCACAGTAGACCATTTCTAAACGGTAACCCATCCGAAAACGTCAGCAAAAAGGCCATCTACATCAAGCTTGCGCTCAAAGGTGACCACATTTGCAATGAGGTGCGCCAGAAGTTGAGATCAGCTGTAGACCGTGCATTCCCAGCTGCTTAACTCGGACTCATTGTCTCCGTTTGAGGAATTGATTTGGATAAACAAACATGACTGGCAAACCAGTTCCGTCTCACACACTGTATACCAGTTCACCTGCAGTTGCGGTGACGCATACTTAGGCAGAACAAACCGTCATCTGTCACAACGGATGGCAGAACATTTTCCAAAGTGGTTGGTGAAATCGATGGCGCAAACGATAAATGATGGCCAAGTGATCACAAAGAATCCAGCATCATCTGTTGCAAAACATTTCATGGCAACAAGACACACAGTTGACCCTAATTCGTCTTTCAAACCACTATTACGTAATCGCAATGCTTAACTTTTGGCGATTAGTGAAGCACTGCTTATTCGATTACATCACCCGACCTTATTCGCACAGAAGATCTGAT